GAATCCAATTGTCTGTTTGTTTTGGAGCTGAGGAGACATCTGAGGGTAAATTAGCAGCAGGTAAAAACCTCAGAAACAATAAAACCCTAAGGAATTCAAACAGGAAGGAATTGATCGCAGTGCCAGCAGTTGTGGTGAAGACAACAACTCCCGAAATTCCACGCTACTTAATATCAAACACTGGTATGTTGTTATTTTATAATTGCAAATGGAAAAACGATACATATTATGGGCTTATGGAAATATTCTGGTAATGATTAATACAAATTAAGGTGCATGCCATTTTCTGCCTGAGCGTCTTGACATGCTTCTCCCTCATCCACCCTCCACACCCTCACTGCCCTACCTGCTACACTGAGGCCAAACTGCTTCCTCTACTGCCACTGGATGTAACCTGTGTCATGCAGAATCATCAAAAAACAGATGTAACCTTTAGGGACACTGAGCTGGTTAAGACTTTGCGCCTGAAATTCTTTTTCTCATGGCTATCATGAAGGAAACCTCACTACATCAGTTATAGCTTACTTAACTGTATATAATGACAGTGGAGCCAACACCTCTGAGGCCCCATGGGCCATCTGTTCTCTTTACAAAGGTCAGTTAGATAGTTAAAGTTCCTGCTGAACCCTGAATTTAATCACCCCTGTGGCCTATAGGTTTGAAGCTCCTACTTCCTGCTGAGCTGACATGATGTTACTATCGATTTTTAGATCATCTTAAGGTGCAAAACACTTTCTCTACAAACAGGGAGTTTTTTTGTGGATCAGATTCAGAACTTGAACCAGCATTTCCCTCAGAGTTACTTCCACCTATGGTGGTAGCAGAGGTGCACACGTACACAAACTTTGCTCCCACGTGCAACAGATTCCAACAGAGAGAGCTTCACTGTATTCTGCTCACATCTATGCACACAACTGCTGCTGACACTATGAGGTCTGACTGTCTGTGTGGACGGAAACAAGTTTATGGACAATAGCACGAGTGTGTGAGTAAGTAAGCATCAACTAGTGCTGCAAATAGCTATGAAAGGCTGCAACGGAGCAAAACAGCAAGTTGAAGATCTCATTTCATTATGAGAAAGTGTAAAAAACGTCTTTGGTTCATGATGAAACTGTTTCAGGACAAATTGGAATATGGCGAGCCACCACAGTGCAGGTCATTAGTGGGAAACACTGCTTGAACATACCACAACTCAACGCATCACAAAATGTTAAGACATAAACAATCTGTTTCAGTCTTGTGTGAAATATTGCACATCGCTTTGTGCCATGTGTATTATGCACTACACATGTGGGTTTATGCATACATAAGAGACACTGCCACATTACAATATAACAGCCTGTTTAGAATGTGAACAACATTTTTACTAGACACACTTTTATACACAAAACTGCCTGTAATGCACAATGTCTGCATGCATCCACCTCTTCTGCTTAAACCTGACTTTAAATGCCTTATTTACAGAAGAAGGTGGGAATATGTGTTTAGGGGCAAGCAGGCAGTGGTGTGTGTGTCTGTGTGTGTGTGTGTGTGTGTACAGTACAGCCTCTGGTATGAGCAGCACTTTCAGGTTAATAGGAATTCTTCCTCGAAGTGTACACTTTTTTTTCAGCGCTGCCAGGTCTGTGTCACACAATGGCCAATCAAAACCTACCCGATACCCAGAGTCAGTTAGGTAGAACATGGATTTTTACTTACAGGCATTATTTGTGTAATTTGAATGCAAAAAAGGTCTAACTAACCGACGGACTACAAAATTCAAACTCCAGAAAAATGCCCCACAAACCTGGTAAACCTGCTCTTCTTTCTGCTTCTCTTCTAATCAATTTCTCCAGAACTAGCATTCTAGTTGAGGAGGAACAATGTTTATGTTCGCCAGCTAGCCACTGTTAGCTGAACCATTTCATAATAATGCATCACGCGGCTTTTCACACATACTAACACCGTAGTAACAACTGTACAGACCGCAATTGGGCAGTACTATATGTAGGACAAATTTAATGGCAGAGGTGCTAATAAACAGTAAAAAATACAGCTTTCTCCCCATAGAGCAGCCAACTTGGATTTGGAAGTCGGGGGTGGTGAGGTTCCTCGAACCTTCAGAGTCAAAATACCGACTTGACTTCAAGTTGCAACCTCCGACTCGGGGATAAGTGAAACAACTGCTCACATGTGTAGGAGATGAGCTTTTATTTGAGGAATCTGTGATAATTGTGCAACAAATAACTAAGTGCTTCCTGTTAACATGGATGAAGAGTAGAACTGATCATGTGGATTCGAACATTTTCAAATGAAAATGTAACAGGTCAAAAGGCAGCTTGAGCATTTCAAGACACACAGCATTTGCCTTGCCGTTTTGTTCTGTTTTCTAATGCCAGCCATTTTCCACTCTAACCTCTGTTCTTGTACAGATAGTCAAGGTTTTGTTTATTGATCTCCCATGAACCTCTTTGACTCATGAAACACTGCACATTCAGGGTCCCACATGTTCCAAGGTCGTGAAGTTTGCTTGTGAACAAAGGGTTTCAGGGTGTGTCCTTGAAGTCAAACCAAAATGTTGAATGTATCATCATGAAAACCTTTTTCTTTACTACAGTGCAGTGAGTAAATTTGCAGGGGATTTGTCTTTTCGGTATTTTTGACCTGAAACCTTGAGGATAGTTTTTCTGCTGTGAGAGTTTAATTTCACACTCTTTTGTTCATTGTGTTGTTGTTGGACTAAAAATAGCTTCTGCTGTATTTCGCTGTAAAATGTGGTGATGTACATTTGCTTCATCTCATGTGCTGGATTCGTTGTTTGGTCGTGCAGAGTTCAGTATGCGTGAACTTGAACTGCTCCACTGAGAGAAACATGTTTAGAAAACTTGAGAGGGAGAGACTGACCTTGTTCAAGGAGAGTTTGACAGTGTGCAGCGCCGACCCTTGTTTTTTTATGATCACACGCTTTAATGGTACAACAAGCTGAGTGGGTTCATTGTGTCTCCCTTGGTATATCTGTTACCTTGGCAACAAGTACTCTTTCTGGGAATCTGTATTTAAACACATTGTTAAAGTTCAAATGCATCCTTACATCTTTAATAAAAGAATAATATACAATAAAATTACTATAACACCAAATGCAATAAAAGTACTGAATAGTCAAACAGAGAAAACAAACCTATTAAAATGAATATAAAATGAATATATAAGCCAAACATAAGGACAGTGGAATTTGCAGCACAGACATACATGAATAAATCTTATTTGGTTTATGCACTGTATTTTGCAAACATGTAAAACTTTACAACTTATTACTGTATTTTAGTTGCTTTATAAACTCTGTCATGGATATATGGCTCAATACATAACTCTTTATTTTCATGCTGATCTTTGAAGCATGATTCACCCTCTCTGTATATACTTACAGAACAATATATTTGAATACAGTTTGTATACAGTACTTACAACTGTCGCCTAGCAAATAAGCTACAGACGAAAACATTCTTGAGTTGATTGAAAATGTTGAAAAGATGCTTTATTAACATTTGTACCGTTAGCTGTTTGGTTGAAAACTAATTTAAATATAGATTCTTCTGACATTTGCACCTTTTTGTTGCCATTACACCTTTGAAAAACAGTTTCTTACTGAAGCGCAATGAATCATGGGATATGTTCGGCTGGCTAGGATCCACCTGCTTGGGGGTGGAAGGACACATTTGGAGGAGCCTTTGAATTGGGACAGCCTAGTTGTGCCGCTGTGACGTTATTTGTCTACAAATGCGGCTCCCGAAAGATGCAGCCCCCGAAATGAGACAAAGCTTCCATCCTTAAATGTGTAAGATGGCTACGTTTGTGTCCAGGATATTTCAGCTTCAGTTCTGGATAGTGGGAGGGAGTGGAGGCATGTCATCTATCTTGATATACAGATATGTTTTCACCACATTCTACTCATAGAGGCTTTTAACACAGTGTGAGTCTGAGATTGAGATCTTAGAAAAGTTCACTGTAAGTATATAAATAAAGTAAAATGAATAAGACTGTTTATTACTCAGGGAACATTTAAAAAAATCTGTCAAGCAAGCAAGAAAAAAAATAGAATTTAAAATTTGCCAGTGATTTAATTAAACCTCTTTTATTCTGGAGTCAGTTTCACCTCACTGGTGATATTCAGACTTTCTTTAATCCTCGGCTCCACTGAACTCGAAGAATCATCACACTGCAGACGTCTCTTTGCCCCAGTAGAAATGTCTTTTATTGATCCAGGGTTTATGTCATGAAAAGGGACAGTATGCTGGTCTGACTCCATTTGTTCTGGAGCAATGATGGTCCCAATACTCCAGACAGTGTGTGTACCTCTTCCTCTAAAGCCTCCTCGCTAGGGTACTCCTATGGAGCTGAGCTATTATACCCCCGCTGTCCTCCGAGACCCTGCATGATCTCTGGCCCAGCGCGTTTTTGCAGATCACTTTATCCTGCGGCTCAAGTTACACGGCGGCTGTTCTTCGGAGCACTCATCAGTATCCCTTTCACAGCCATATTGTTATACAATTCGGTAAGCTCGACATGTTCGAGGGAGCTTTACACAGATTCAGCGGGAAACCCACGGAGAGGTCGATGGGACGCAAACACACTGAAAACTGGAAATGGAGAACATTCCCACAGCCTTGATAGGAAGGTTCACAGCTGGGAGTGTTATCATCAATGTGCTGCTGCAGGACGGGGAAGATGCAGGATGCTCAACGCCTCAGGGCACCCTCCCCTCCCCTCCCCTCCTCATCCTCCTCATTGGGTTTTAATGCACTTTTTTCTTTTTAAATCTGACTCTCAGTATCACTTTCTGCTTTCTCTTTAGAGAAACCTCATCTCGCTCAAACACACCCCTCATAGCACACACACACACACACACAGCAGCAGAAAGGCCTAGACGCACACTCACATATGCAGATGCACGCTTACTCAGCTAATGTCTGTTGTTGCGTGAGCCTCAGGTTAATAGCTGTTTTTTTTCTTCTCCTCTGCAGATGCCGGCTCAGGATCAGGAGACGATGGTAAGATTACTCATCCTCCTCCTCCTCTTTCTCCTCCTCTTCCTCCTCCTCCTCTGCTTTAACTCACGCACTGCTTCTTGCTCATTGTGTTTGTCCACTGAAAGTATGTTCTGCTGTAGCAGTGAACAGACGGATAATCATGTGCACTGTATGAGAAGTTTGATTCACTTTGGGGAAAGTTAGTTCATGGCCATCAAACAAGTTTGACTTGAAGTTCTGTAATGAACATATGCTGCACATTAGAATAGTTTCCATCACAACTTTGCTGTTATGTCTCATGCTTTGCATGTTTGTCCACAGTGGACAGCTGTTTTAATATTTTGTCCACCCCATTTGTTTCAGTGAAACACGAGGAAAAGACTCAAAATACATCATAGAGTAAAAAACATATAAGTATAAAGTAATACATCCTCAATAATCAAATTCCTTAGACCAATGTTTAAATAATCAAAACAAACATAAAAAAATAAAACCTCAATGTATGAAATGTTTAAATAAGACACTAGCACCTGTAGGGCTATAATTATCAGCAGCCTCCAAAATGATTAGAGTCGAATCAATACCTCTGATAGTGTTTCAAACATCATGACCTTCAGGAAGGGAGGATTTGTTGCAGGACTGTTGTGTGAGACTCTGTTGGTTTAAGCTTGGTGTAACTAATAAACTGCCAAAGGGATGTATGTCAGTTTTGACACATACTATCTTGTTCTGATAATCACTCAGTACAGCTTTGATATTCACACCCGCATGTTCACACACTGTCGACTCCTCCGTCAGGGCTTCAGTATCTTGCCCAAGGACACTTCAGCCTTAGACTGGGATTGAACCACCAACTAAAAATAAGCAACACTTTGGACCAACGTTTTGAACATTATCCCACACTCAAGTAAGTCAAATGTAAAACAGCAAAACCTATTTTAGTCACGTAATCTTTAGCTTTGTAAAATTCACTACAGTACACATTTCAGAGTCGGTTCTTCTCTTGCATGGAGACTGCAGGGAGTGCTTTACACAGAAAGAAAAATCTGTCAGTCGATGATATTCATTACATCATAAAGGAGAGTTCTGCTCGAAGCAGCTGTGGTGGATGATCGTGTAATAGATAATTATAATAATAAAATAAATATGTGTGATGGATTTTCTGTCCAAACCATTTTTCCACTTTCTGATTTTCATACATCATGGAATTTATTGCAGGGAAGTAGAAAATTATCTGATTGTCCTTTTCTTATTATTTTTAGTTTTTGTTTTAGCATTTAATGAACACTCGAGCTGAAAGAAGATGCAAGTTTAAAGGTATGTTAAGCCAGTGAGGGTTTGTTGTAATAACATGGAAAAAAGCTTCGGGCTATGACTGACTTTTCTCGAATAGCTTTTCTGAGTAATCATGTAAAACCTCCAGCTGATGAATAATGTGTCATTCAACTAAGACTCTAATTTGTTGTCTAATTGCCTCACAAGCCTCGGCCCTTACGTCAGCATGGACCGGACGCAGTCAGCAGTGGAGTTTATCCATCAGTTTGCTTGTTTGCGTGCATATACTGTATTTACACTCGTCCTCCTGTGTGTTTGCCAATGCAGCGCCTTCATTAACTCTCAAGTATGGAGCTGCACCAAGCATTTATGAGACAGAGATTGGAAAAAAAGAGATTAGTCCACCCCCCCAAATAATACGGCAGACAGTTGGATGAACGAGCGGAAATGAAACCGGTGCTGGGTCAACAAGAGGGACAGAAAGAGAGGGAGAGGCTGGACAAAGAAATGGCCTGAGGAAAGTCGCAAAATAGATAACGGAACTGGGGAAACATAAGGCGAGTCGTGCAGCGACGGAGGGAGAAAAACAGGACAGACGGTGATAAGAGACGGGAAAAAAGAGGAACAAAATAAACACACATTTTCATGTATGGCCTATGGAGGAATACTTTCTGTTCCCTGCTTTGCATTAAACTCAATTATCTGAAGAGGCTCCTTGTGACGCAGCAGGACAAAAAGCACATACATGTAACACCAGGATTGTCTGATATTCTGCTTCATTTGCACAGTTTTTTTTTCTAATAAGCAATTAATCAGTGTCATTGGGATCTGTGGCCCCTGGGAAGTTACCCACTGGGTAATCAGTTTCCAGTCTCCTCAAGCCAGAATATATATGCCATGGCTCCAAGAACAATATGCAGTTTCTTTCTATTGATTGAGTGCCTGGAATTCGATGTTTTATGTCACTCCCAACTCATGGATGAGGACATATATCCTTGTGTAATACAAAAAATTGATTGGTATAGAAAGTACTTTAGTTGTTTTAGCACAGATCTTACAGATTTTAGAATATAACATCTTTGAATAAGATTCGGGTGGCAATGAGTTCATGTAAACACGACAAGTTATTCCTCCAAACTAATGCAGGGTACCTATCCTACCAATCTCAAGTTTTCAACATCTCATTGTTGAGACAGCAGCATGTCGTTGCTCTCTGAGACTCATTCTGGGTCCAGGTCTGGAGCTGCTTGTACTCGTCACAGACCTCTTGTAGGACTTGATATCATGGAATCATTTTCCCCCTGGAGAGAAGCATGACTTTGACTTTCAGGGGGCAGCCCTTCATAAAATATTCTGATATATAATCAAGTCAACAAATACTACATTTCAATACATTTAATCTTTATTGGCAAATCTCTAGGATTCATATGTATATTAAGACCCTTAGAATAAAACTCTGTGTGATTCCTACAAAGTATGTTGTTCATAATACCAACACACACAACTATAGATGGAATAAAAGCATTGCTAGGGGCACACAGAGACAGCATCAGGTAGGGGGATGGGTGCAGAGTTTAGTGTCATCATGCACCTTAAAATAGTCCACCATCCGCTAAAAATAAGTGAGATGAGTTTTTCCTTTGTATGAAAGCTTATTATGAATGCTGACCTTGTGAGACTGCTTGGTGGCTCCGAGAAGAAGCTTGAGTTCTGTCCTCACTCTGAAACTGTCAGATAAAATATGAGGAATCGATCATTCAAGAGGAAGAGAGACAATTAAGGAAAAATAGCTCAGGGGCAGAGAGGGTATTTGTGCAGTATAGGAGTGAAGGAGGGGAGAGGAGAGAGCAAGAGGAAGAGTAACACAAACACACCCTGTAAAGATAGAATCATTGCAGAGGTCAGAATAGATGGAGAGATACAGTAGAAGAGAGGGAATGGAAGAAGGAGGGGGAAGGGAAGAGAGCTGCTGGTGTTTTATGAGCAGGGGGAGAAGGTTAAAGAAAGTGGTTGTAAAAGGAGGGTTGGACTCCTATTGAGGAATCCAGCAGTGGGGAGCCGTCCTGGTAAAAATCAAATGTATTTTAATGGTCAATGATAAATCTACACACATAAAACGTGGGTCAGCCGGGTAGTTGCCAGTTGCATTGGCTGTGTGCGTGTGTAGAGCAGCATGAATGCACACTTGTGAGTTCTCTTGCATGTTCGCGTCCTTTATCTGATAAGAGAGAACACAAGTCGACTGTGCAGCGACATGCCCTCACGACATGAGCGTGGTCACATGGTTCCTTCAGTCAGAATCAGACATTTGTCAAAATCAAATTGTACAGTGGAGAAATTGAATTGCGATCACATGGCAGGACAAAGGGTGAGCAAAGCCCCAGATTTGTACGTGGTTTCAACACTTCCCGTCCCAAATAAGTGTCGAGTCACGCGAGCAGCTGTGAGAAGCTGTAATGCTCATTTATTGAAAAACTAAAAAGACAGATATAAGACTGAGATCAGAGATTTGTGACTGTGAGATCACTGCAGAGATATTTTTAGCCAGACTAGCAGCATGGCCTCATGGACGGCAGTGACGCTCCTTCCGCTGCTGTGGTTCAGACTGACATTCTCAGTAACTCTTGGGTTTATTGCCATGAAAGTGTGTGTACGCTGTAGCAGCTGTTTGTAAAGTACGTGTCAGCACCATGGACAGCTTCAGCTGGAGAGAGACGTCTGTGCTGAAGTTGATCATAGGTTTTTGGTTTGGACGAGCAGCGAGTTTTATATTTTATTATTAAAACATTACTGATTCTTACATATATTTAACATTAAATTTATGTATTTCATATTTATGTATGTGTAAATTAAACTAAGCTAAACTAAGCTTTCACTCTCAGTACCAGTGACAATAATGGAGGTGAGGAAGAGTTGGAAACTACAGTTTTTCTTCAATAAATCATTGGTTACACCACCTAATATCATGTCTCCATATGGTAGCCAGTTATAGATTATGCGTTTGTTCTATGAGTTATCAAGGTAACACATAGCCTACTGCTGGGTGGATTACCAGGACAGTTGTTGGAGGGATGTGGTAGGGATCGTTACATTTTGATATGGATATGAGGGGGAAAAAAAACTTTTGATCTATTCACTGATTTCCCATGCAGGTAATAATTCTTGGGTCTTGATTAAAACCAATCAGGCATGTTGATTAGGGGACATGAGTTTGTGCAAATTGCAAATTGGTGCAGCATTTGAGGGGATTTGTTGGAGTTATTCTACTTACCTTCGCCAAGTACCACAAATCTTGGTGATAGGATGAGGTACGCGTCAAGAAAGAACCCATTTAATATTAGGTTTGGAAGATTTTTTTCGTTTCAGAGTGTTTTGCAAAAACATTTTGGGGTTGATTTCTCAGTCTGTTACAATGTTAGTTTGTAACCTTCTGTTTTCCTTATAAAAGACCCACATGTACTTTATTTCTGTGCTTGCTTTGTGGCATTTATTCAGTTTTAAATATCAACTTTAAAAAAAAAATCTTCAGGTCTAAATTAGTCCCATAGAATCAGCTGGATCACAGCTTAGGAGCCATTAGGACACTACTGCCTTAAGTCCCAAGTCCTGCTCTGTGGGCTCGGTGGACCGGCGGCATTAAAGTGACCTAATTTCACTGCAGTTTGGAAGGGTAACTCTTATCTAAATTAAGCACTCTGTCAAGGTCAAAACAGTGTCCCGTAACTTATCAGAGCCATTTTTCAGTG